GAGTTAAGATTGGAATCACTTGCTACATTAATTTTCACTTGGTCTATATGTCTGCTGTGAACTAAATGATCAACTAAATCAAGAATTTTACCGTCTGACCACCCGTTTGCTGATCCATAGTCATTCCCTTGGTAAAACTGCACCTCCGATGATGTTTTTTAATAAATGAGTTTGAAGTTTTTGAGATTTAAAGAGATTGATCGGACCGTTATCTGTTTTTGAATGCTTTGCATTACTATATTGAAGCAAGAAATTATCAATGAATATTTCTAGCTCTTCTAGATTATTTGAGCTCACTGATGTGATAGCACTCTTTAAAGTTCTGTCGAAATTTCTGCTAGGTCATTAGATTGAGGATGTTGTGTAGTTGTGAATATATGACGGCATTAAATGTCTGCAGGCTAGGTGTTAATCTTTGTCCGTAAAGTGGGTTCCATTATCTGTTACTAATACATTGGATACTTTTTTACTACTAACTATTTTCCTCATCGCCCTTTGAGTAAAGTATCCAATAGGAATGTTCGTTAGTACCACTTCTGACCATTTGGAATGTGAATTAATCGTAACTAATGCTTAATATGAGCTTAAAATTATGTCACAACAATCCACATGAATACTTTGTCACGATTCATAAAATACAAGACAAGAATTCTAAGTAGGTTTATTATACGATAGCTTATGTAAAAAAGCAGGAAACTTTTTGGTTCACGATCTGTATCGGCGTCAGTCTCAAGCCACTAGCAAGCACAATAAGAAGGTGATTTGATTTTCTCTGTACCCAGATGGGCGAGGTGAAGGTCATTTAATAATAATAATAATAATAATAATATATTTCTACATTAGCAGGTACACGCCATTTTTACAGGCATGATCTACAATTTACAACATATACTGGTTCACAGTATGCATCCCAAGCAAGCTTGTTTAGTAATTATAATCTATAAAAGTTGATAGCAGTTCATTCGTTCAGATATAATGTTTTCATAAGAATAGTTTCCAAAGGGGTACCGATATTTTTCTCCCATTTTTATAAGAGATTTGAACTGGAACATATGAATCAGCAAAATAATCAGGATCTGGCAGAACAATTAGATAATCTTGATCATTAGATTCATTAGAAATTTTTTTGCATCATGACTGGTCTGATTTGGCGCCACTGTATTCACTATACTGCTCGGTTTGTTCCCCGTTTCTTCGTGGGCAGGTACTGCAGCAATTTTATGGGCGCTTAATAAGATATTGTCTTTCTGTGAACTGGACGATTCATTGTTCGCACGTTTTGTTTCAGGGATAGTAGGATTTGAGCCACGCATAGGGCATGCCTCTGAAACAGACAATACTGGACTACTGGGCTGATCATATGTGACTGCTATTGTTTTGCTTAAATTACTGCTTTTCACGGATTTATAGAGGCTTTCCCCGGTATATTCATTTCTTCTGCAATCGTTTTCCAGCTCTGTACGCAATTTTGAAATTAATGCATCAACTTACGTTGCACCCCCAAAGCATGGGTGATTCAGCAGCTTTGCATGTAACTTGTCAATGAATTCCAATTGACTCTTTCTAAAGCGCTGCTCTTGCCGCTGGATTAGCAACTGAAATTGATCGAGAGTTAGAGCCATTTTTTACCCGTCGCCAGTTGTTATATCGTATGGGGATCGTAATTTATATATGAACGTGCAGTTGGAGAAGGAACGAATTTATTGATCGGACGCAAATAATACTTGAAATCGTACAAGCAGTCTTGGGTGCTATTCGGTCCTGCTATACGCCTAGCCCAGCCAGTTGAGTCCAGAACACAAATAACAGCCTCGGCAATATGAATCATTATTTACAAACATACTGGGTTTTTATACAAACCAAAGTAATCAATAAACTGATTATAACTCAATAATCGTATGATCATAAATCAAAGATCAAAATAAAGCTAATGATAAGAGAAACACGAATATGAATAGTTTAGTTACGTAACAATTGTACAATAAGAAATAGGCATAATACATTGGTCGATAATAGACCTCAGATTTACCATACATAATTCACTAGGGGATATAACAGATAGGTTTTTCAGTAAGTAAAGGCTGTCTGAGGAAAGCCTCACTACTTAATAACTGCAAAGCGTTCCTTAGTGTATACTAGTGTTGCTTATATGCAACCTTTTTGCTAGAGACCAAGTTAAAAAGTGGAGATAATACGGCTGTAAGTTCAGGGATAAATCTGGAATGAAATTTAACAGCACCAATCCATGATCTGAGTTCTCAGATATTCGAAGGTGATGGTGCTCGAATCAATAGAGCAAAACGACTTTTGTCAGGTCTAAAATTATTAGTGTCTACTGTATAGCCTAAGTAGTTGATAGGACTAAGTTGAAATTAGCACTCGGACGAGTTTACGGCCACATCCGTTCCATAAAAGTGCTTAAAAAATTTTAAAAGACGTTCATTATACAACTTAGTATTTTCAGTATGAAGTACAATATAATCTTGATACGATTCGACACCATCAAGACGGCTGCTGATCTGATTTTTAACCTGGAACATCGCAGGAGAAAAGTCTATTACAAACGTTAGGGATTTGTATCTGAATGCTTCTAATGGTTTACTTATAGTAGTTGGCTTACCAGATCTTTTAGGTAAATTTTCGAAAAAATACCTTGACCCTCGTAATTAATATAGAATATTTCTAGTTTCTTCGGTGGTACAACTCTGTTGAAATGGCCAAGTATTTGATGTCAGGCGATAATCGCCACAAATTCTAGGCGTTTTTAACCTGCCTTTAATGAATTCATTATGAGAGTAGTCCAACTGGACGATTCTACTGAGATTTTTATCCCCTTTACAAGAAATTTATCTTGCTTATTCTCTATAGCCTCTTTTAGACCACATAGAATTAGTCTAAGCCTCAAAACGATGACCCTCTCTTTTGTTCTAAGTGTACTGGGTGAATTTACACTCCACTTACAGCCTTCGAACATTGCAAGACCAGATCTTTGATTAAGGCACCGTCAGAAGAATTAGTACTAGAGGAAATGAATACGTCCAGCAATTTTAGGTGCCCTAACCCAAGTACAGATGGGCCTTACTAACTGACTAAGAAAGGAGTAGTGAAACAGATATCCTTTTCTTCCCTCAGCGGAGTAATAACTATACCGATAGTTGTTAACTGATGTCCAACACGGACAGCAATTGCATTTCTACTCTATCAATAGTAGCATAGCATAGTGTGTTGAAATGCCATTTTCCTTGAACTTATGTAAAAGACACCAAAAGTCAAAACATCCTACACCACCCCACTTCTCGGGGCGATTCTGTGGTGGGCTTCTTCCCCGAGTTACTTGAATCCATTCGTATGGCGAATAATTGGAATAATATAATGAAATATTACTAATCCCAACAAGTCTAGAACTTCAACAAGACCAAATCAAGAACTCTAATTCGGAGTAAGTCGTATAAAATTGTACTATATTATTATGATTGAATTAAACACAAAATAAAATATTTAACCTTTCAATGAACTTATTAGTTACTCGCTGTGGAAACTGCCTAATCAACTTCTACATCGAAGATGATTTCTGAGCTCCGGGCGTTTGGAATGTTACTGACGTAACTCTTCCATACTAAGCAACATGAGATAAATAATGTAAAAATGTTTGAAGTTCAGTGTGAGTATTTCACTTGAAAAGTGTACAAGTTCGAAGACAAAACATTCAACCCTTCTAAAAAGATCTCAATATTTAAAATAGGTTTCTAGTCAGACAAAGATATATCACTTAACCCAAGATGAGTGAACAAGCTACACTTTCCATGCATATTCATCTTCAGCTTAACATGTAGATAACTGGTAACTGTATGCGTAGCATATTTTCATTATTAGAATTGTCGATGACTAAAAATTGTATAGCCTTATATTATACACTGAAAACAATACATGCTCAACTTTGCAAGCACATAAAAAGACATTACAGAACAGTCAACGCTCTTGTGTGATCCAATGACTAGTGACAGTCATCAAAACCTTATTGGTTTTCGTATGTGTCTGTACAAATTATTGCGATCGTTTACCTAATTCATTTTCCATATATATGAGCACCCTGCACACACCTTTTTGTGTCTGCTAGTTGTACTGAGAGTGTAATCCCATATAAACTCATAAGACAACTAACACATATAAGATATTAATCAGTGATATAACGCTTCATGAATAAATGAAACTGGGCACCAAAGTCAGTTGTTATCCAAAAATGTCTAAGTTTTGTTCGAAACCTAGCTGTTACTAGAGTATGAAGTATTTAAGTAACCAGCGTTTACAGTGATTTGTTCCTTAAACTCGTTGTGTGCTTTCTTCCATCTATTCACGTAACCGAGATCTTTTTGAATATATTCTCAGAATCATAGAGTGCTGGATACATTATGAGAAAAACATAACTATGTGGATAACAAATTTCTAGCTAATAACTCAGCAAAACTCCGAGGTCACGATTTGCCTTAAGAACTCCAAAATGAGCATCAGACCCAAGTACTGGTGAATAAGTGACTGTCGTTCAGTTGACGATATTTTAGACATTTGTTTACTCTTTGAAAACTACTCACTATGACCGAACAGATCAGAAATAACACATTCGAAACTTAACAAGAAATACAAAAACATACCGTCACAAGATAAGTGGTTTAAAGCAGGACGTAAAAATTTACTTGTTCCCGATCTATTCTGTTAAGGTTGAACCGGATGATTACGATAAACAAACTCTGATTATTACTTGATAGTTATGAGTTCACCGTGATCTGTGAAGTACACACCAACAGATTTTTGGTGTATACGTTTGCATACTAGTTTATCAAGTATGGTGAAAATGCCCGGATTCAGTATAAAGGAAGGCTTAATAGAATATTGCAACTAATCAGCTTACTATTGGTAAAACTGCTAGACATCCGAGAACATGTTTAACAAAACAACATTACAGAGGTCAGTATTCTTTGAAAGAGTTCCGAATCAAACTTCTCCCAATACAATGCGTTTTGTTTTAATTCTTTAACAACAAGGTTATACTGTGCGCAGATACGAGAAAAACGAATAAAGTTTGTCCGCTATGATTAAAAGTGGTGATTTTATCGAAAGACTAAATCAACAAAACCATGAAAATTCCAAAACCATCGACTTTAAAACGTATGGCTACGACATAGAGGAGGGTGAAGAAGACCAAGAAACTAAGGATGACTCAAAAGACAGTGTATGGTCACCAGAAATCGAGCAAAGCTTTCGCGAAGCTTTGATTATTTATCCACCTTGTGGCAGAAGAAAAATTATTATTTCGGATGAAGGAAAAATGTTCGGTAACTTCTATTATGTGTGTTCGGTTTAATATTATGGACGGAAATCAATTTATTGCATATTTGTTAACATGTACATGCTAACTGCTGTACACAACAATTAGGAGTCAATGTGTATTGATTTATAACGTCAGAAACACCTTTCAAAAATGATTTCAGAATGTTTACTAAACCTACTGCTTATCTTTATTTCATCTTTATCGGGCGTATGATGGCTATCACTACCTAATGCTGGTATTTTAAACACAAGCTTTTATTGTCACTGTGCATTTAACTATGTCAAAAATTTGGTAGTTACTTACCAATTAGGTTTATGGATTTGAAATTCTGTATGACTTTTAAAGCATATGGCCGGATGGCTTGTCTATTTTCAGAACCCAATGTAAACTAAGCAGGTATTTCTTAACTGTACCACGTTGTTTCTAAAGTATGAATATACCAGGTTCCTGACTCGGTTTCAATTTCTAACTCGTTTTGCTTTCCACTCGGACTTATGTACGTCGAAAGTCACTCTTGGAAAACAACCAGCTACCATATCTGGACACCCTTACAGCTCATGGATATTCTCGTATCATTAGTTTTACATGTTTTGATGTAACATCTATGTAGAAAGATTGGTTCAATGACACTAGTTACATTATAGATACAAATGTAGATGCTATAAGACTATAAAAGCTGTGTTACACAAAACGTTGTTTTAGTGTTAGTTTCATCCATCTATGAAAACTTAGTTTGCTAGGGGCTGTTGTAAAAGTCGAAAACTGGGTGTCAAATAACTTTTTATGTGTCCTCAAACTACTGTGCTAGGTTTTTTATCACGTGAGACAGAAAAATTGGATTGTGTTAAACACAAAATCAACAAGCAGCAGGGAAATTTTCGTCTGAACACCAGGGATAGGTTGACACGTGCATGAAGGCTTAGCTACAAGCGGCATGAGTTCCTCAAAATCCTATGAATCCGTTTCGTTTTTTCCTTATAGACATTCATGTATTAAAGTTATTTGGTATTCAAAATCCCAAAATTTATATTTTAGGTTGACCTTTTGTTTCTGAGGCATTACTTTCTCCGCTCTACTAGTTTTGTTAGAAAATCTAACAGCAGTTATAATTTATTTGGGTTACCATTCATTAGCAGTGATATAGAGCTTTCTCCTAACATATAAAAAATATTGTATTTTGATTCTTTCATGAAAATAAGTGCTTTGAACACCAAGTAAAACCTTGAGGAAGTTATCTCTCACTCCCAAACTGCATTAATCAAAACAGATCTTAATTTGAGACTTCATCATTGATGGCATTTTATATATACATCCCGAAAGCCTTTTACAGCACGTTTGGTGAATCTTTTTTAATCCACATAAAACTATTCTTTTGGTTTTGTTGTGGTGTGGATATGTGATAGTGCACCTACTTTGTGATATTTTGTGTATAGATCTTCCCCAACAACCATATTCACTGACTTTTACTCAAAATCCAATATAAAATTAACCTTGATCCGTTTTCTCCTTCAGCATTTTTCCATAAAACTTGTGTACTGTAAGTAAATGTTAAACTATTTGTATACTGCAATTGTCTTCATATTTATAAATACATTTCTCTCTGGTTTTTGCATTAAATCTGATACTTTTTTCCAAAACATTGACCCTCTTCATGATGACCCTTTTATAAAGATTCTGAGACCAACCAAAGTACGAACTGTTCTAAATGATGTATTTCGCAGTATGATATAGCTGAATAGTAAACATGATGTGTCACCCAAAATGTCCTTGTTCTATTAGTAGATCATCCATAATTGAAGCAAATCTATCATTGAATTTGTGATTTTATCTGTTTCTCTTATTTATTTTAACTGTTCAAACCAAGAGCGAATACCATCTAAGTGGGGAATGGAGGTTTTATTCACTGAAGATGGGAACAATATTATGTGTTTATAAATATAACGTTGTTAAAAGGGATTTGCAAAGCTTAACATAATTACTACACATAGTTGCTTTGTATAGTATTAAGATAAATTCTAGTATGGAGTGACAATGATATTATATATAATATGTTCACACTTTAGTTTTTTAACTGCCAAGCAAAAGTATCGCGAGATGTTTTTTTAATATAAATTATTTCTACTTCAAACATGAATATGTTAATTCCGATCTAACTTTTTTTACTTAATATCTACTCACTTACTGTGTACAATTTATGCCTAACTCGGTGCTACCAAAGGAACTCAGAAGTCTAGTGCAAGTATTTATATGATCTTGTAGAACTTGAGTGCATAAGATATACTACTTTGTGTCATCGATGAAAGAAGCAGTTTGTTTAAGAAGATCGTTGGTCAGTATTCCAAAGCTAGTTAAAATCCTCCACTAAATTATTGAAATCAATTTATTGTCCAGTAGCATACTTTTGCAATGCTATTAGCTTTAAAGAGATCAAAGCTCTCATTTAATTTGATTTTTTATTTTTCATAATCGGCTTTCTAGATAAATGTTTGCAAACCCTTAGAGGCTGTCTTTTTTAAGTCAGTGAAGTCATTTTGACTGAAAATGATTATTCAACAATATTCGTTGTTTAAGTGCTCTCGGCTAAGAATAAATTTACATTTAGTATTAGGAGCTTTCTTTTCAGCTGTTTATTTGAATACTTTTGTCTGAAATATGCTTCCTTTTATCAGTCTACGTTTTTCGTAAAACAGTTTTAAAAATGAATTATTAAAATTTTAGCAACACAATTTGAAAATCATTCTCAAATTGATCAATGTGTAAATGGCTGACAGTAATATTCAGTTAACAGTTTGTAATAGGCATAAACTTATAAGTACAATCGGGTAGATACAAAACGGCAGCGTCGTCTTAACAAATGTGTTTCGTAAACTGTCTTAACCGAACATTTTTGACACAGTTGTTAATAAACCATGAAATTCATGAAAAATGTAAAATCAGACCTAAAATCTTAAAGTGAAATACAATTGACAGGATGCACGCACTGATGACTATTAAAGTCGAGTTTTTGCCAACAATTTTTTTAGGAAAGATACTTGGAAAGTGGCATAACTGCAAATGCATGTGTGTTTTTGAGTGATAGCCACCACATTTTTGCCATAGAAGTTGCGTTAGGAATTTTGATCACTACAGTTCGGCTTAAGTTTCCACAACATTTCTTGCCTGTGTATTACATGGTGATTATTGTTACTATTTACAGCTGTAGCGGGTTGAGAGACCATATAATGCGTTTAGATCCTTGTAGAATCATATTAGTGAACAGGACGAATCGGGCTGTTGCACCGTTTTCAGATGTTCTATTGATTTTATACTTTGTGTCAGCCATTAAAAGCTGTTATATTTCTAGATGAAATTAGACGGAAAACCAGGTATTAGGAACTAGTATTGTTCTGATAAGTGAACTGAAACGCCAACGTCACGAAAATATAAAAACACTAGTGATATACCATTCCAATCCATTTACAAAATTCATATTAGCATTTATAACAGTTGGACTTATAGTTGATATATCAGTAAAATGAGAAAACTTTATGAACAGTATACTTTATTTTCAATTGACTACAAATACTTCATGGCAAAAGTACTTTGCTCACCATACATTTATATGTAAATCACCTAAAATAAAATAGTAATTGCTTTATTTGAAAGTTCATTTTCTTTGTTCTAGTTAAAAATAGAAAGCACCAACTTTTAAATAGAAACTCAGTTCAACCCAATGGCAGCCTATGATATGTTGTAACAGAGGAACCGGTTTGTTTTCTTAATTTATTTTATAGTTTACTCCTATCCTACAATTTATATCCGTAAGCAATAAACTGACATCTTGAACGAATTGATTTTTTAATCCTATTTGGTTTCTGACTATGTATAACAGAGTAAGAGCTTGACAGTTATTTGCTTACAAAATTAAAAGTTTATTAAGCTTGAAACAGGTATCATTCGACATAAATGCATTATTGCAAATTGATAAATTTCGGGACTGCTCTCACACCAGTAACCGTAACGGGTCGGTGTAAGCTATTATTGTTGTTCGGAATACGTACTTCGTGTTCCTATCACCTTAATCAATGAGGATTCTCTACCTAATCAACCGATTTACAATTTTACATGGAACCCCATGTCTATCTTCAACATGGTTCAAAAGTGAGTGGGTCTCGTTATAAAGTGAAATCCAGTGATGAAATATGAGCGAAATATATAAAAGTGAGACTAGTTTATACTATGCTAGCTCCTAACATCTGGTTGAAAGTCTGTACAACAGTTCAGTTTTCTTGTTCTTGGAACATATTCTTTGAATCTAGTGTATTTCTGTCATGAACTAACTGTGACAGTCTTCTTATCTTCAGATCTTTATCTTGTAAGAAGTGGTATTCGTAAATATACATCTTATCAGCGACATAAAGTCATCGAGGCGAATACCAGAGAAGTGGAAGTAGTATATATATATATATATATATATATATATATATATATATATTCTGAGTAAATTAGGTTTCGCTGTACTGAACTCCCTGTGGGTTCCCTAGAGTGTACTAATGGAAAATCACATGATAAGAAGAAAACAGATATCAAGTGTTCATTACTTTTCATTATATTTTTGTTGATGCCAGCCCATAATAAATTCTATCTATAAGTCCATTCTCATCTGAAACTTTAAGTACTTTGATACTATTAAAATTATTTGTAAACAGAATTTTAGATATTATTAATTTTTAGTCTATAGAACAATTCATTTGCTTAATTAATTTATTATGTAGTTGAGATCATGAGTCAATTGAAGCTAGACCACCATGGAAAACCTGGAAGCACTAGACGGCCCCCCTTCTGATAATTAATTTATATTTATCTTTTATTTCTTTTTTTTTTCGGTTACTTTTCTATTTCACGAAATTCAAAGAACAAAATCTAAATTTACTCCAACATCACAATTCTTTTTATTGTAGGGGAATAAAATAAGCGCAATATTTTTCTGAAATCATTTCTTATCACATAGGCTGAATGACATTTTTTTTTATCAAATCAGACTGTATGTACAGTCCGATTGTTTGATCTCTTGTACATATATTGGTTAACTCAACAACGAGAAAATATTCTTTGTTCACCAGTAATATATTTATAACTGTAACCCCTTTTTTTTTCTTTAAATTTCTATTATTTGGTCGAATGGTTATTAAAATTGTTTTGTTTGTATGTACGTAGTTCCTCTCTCTATAGATAAAGTTTCATATTTCATTACTAACAGATTTTGAGTTAACATTGAGAGTGTGGATAAACAGACAAATTATCGATTTTGAAAAAAGAGAACAAAGCTTAACAATTTTTATAAATCTGTTGATTATTTCTTCTCATTCGACATCATTTATAGTATACATAATTAAACAAACAACAAAGCTCCCAAATGACTAATTAGATAATTGTTAATCTTATTTTATTTACTTTTCTTCTATCTGAATAAATAAATGTCTATAACTCTATTATTTTTTATTTCTGATCTAATCAATCAAATGTTATATCGGTGTTCAATGGTGTTAATTTACTAATCATTATTTTACTATTTGGATTTCGTGGTTAGTTTGGATGGATAGTATCACAAGGGGGTTTTGTGGAGATTTCAGTAATTTTATATAGCTAAGATCATGAGTCAATTGAAACTAGACCACCATAGAAAACCTGGAAGCACTGAACGGCCGTTTCATCCTATTGTGGGACTCCTCAACAGTGCACATCCACAATCCCGCCTCGCGAGATTCGAACCCAGGACCTACCAGTCTCGTGCCAGAGCACTTAACTGATAGACCACTGAGCCGGCATCCGACGGTGTTAATGTCTAACCTCAACCAATCCACGAATGGATGGATGGATAGTAGTTAACAGTGGAATCCAAAATGCACATTTCATTCTATTTGGGACTTCATTCCACTGTTAACCACCATTTATCTCTGATTATAATGCTTGCGAGTTAAGACGATATCGAGGCAATCAATACAGGATGCATATATGCCATTAAGAAACTGTAATCCTATATGTCAATGGAAAGATTCATACAACCAATACATGATGAACTTTTATGTATCAGTTTATTGATACACAATATAGTCATTGCTTTTTGTATTAGGTTGCTTCGAAAATTTTATCCATGTAACATGATCATTTGATGATTTAAAAACATAAGTTAAGCGAAGAAATGTTTCTTTTCAGTCAGTTTTAAAAATCAAAATTAGAACTAAGTTGAACTTTCATAATCAGTTAATTAATATATACAGTCACAATAGAGTAGGGACATGAATTGAAAGTGAATGTAAATATAAATGTTTTTATTATCTGTGAAATTAATGACAAGTAATTAGTAGGACGGGTGCGGCGAAAATTAAGTAACAAAATCACCGAACAGGTTGCATAAGATTAGATTTAGAAATTAAATTGCTAACAAAATCGATGTTCGGAAGATTCTAAAGGAAGAAAGATTTTAAGACGTGATAGTATCTAAGAAGAAGGTTGGATTAGATTTATAGGCTATATAAACTTTTTCTGTACACAAAAGTGAGGTTCTTCTGGCTTTTGTTGTATATAAGAGTCAAATTCAGGAACCATAGAATAAACGCTGAAGTTTTATTTATATGCTGATCACTATCAACTAGATAAACTTATAATAATTGGAAGGGGATTTGTGGAGATATCAGTATTTTTCAAAGTTGAAATCATGAGTCAATTGAAGCTAGACCACCATGGAAAACCTGGAAGCACTGGACGGCCGTTTCGTCCTACTATGGGACTCCTCAGCAGTGCGCATCCACGACCCCGCTCTCGCGAGATTCGAACCCAGGACCTACCAGTCTCGAGCAGGTTAAGGGCTTTGGCTCGAGACTGGTAGGTCCTGGGTTCGAATCTCGCTCGCGAGAGTGGGTTCGTGGATGCGCACTGCTGAGGAGTCCCATAGTAGGACGAAACGGCCGTCCAGTGCTTCCAGGTTTTCCATGGTGGTCTAGCTTCAATTGACTCATGGTTTCAACTTTGAAAAATTATAATAATTGGCTGGTTATGAAAATTCAACTTCGTTTTAATTTTGATTTTCCAAACGTTATATAACTAATTGATCATTATATTATTGCGTGTTCTTATCGTTTTAGTTGGTGTCATCAGACCTATTTAGTTTGTAAACATTCACATCTTGAAATAGATACAGATAAATTATTTGTTTATTCACTAGACTGTGCTATCTTTGTCTATAACCTCCTTTTCTTTTGTATGTACACCGAGCACTAATATAATTCATCTACTTTATGGTTTTATTGTATAGATATCATAAATAAATTATGTAAGAAGACTATTTATTTGATCACCTGTGTCATCTCAGAAATTAATTGGTTACATTATCTTCAGTGATGCCGAAGTTACTAAAGCATATTTTGTTTACATGTCACTCAGTATGATTTCAGTTAACAATATTTAATACATGCCTTTGTTCCCAATTTTTCTATACGACTAAACTCTTGAACATTGTTGTTTAAACTTTTACTAGATTAGGTTACTTGATATTTATTACTCATTATTCTAACATACTGTATTTCATATCTTTTCTATTTTACTAAAATACAGGACGAAATGAATTAATTGCACGATATATCAAGCTTAGAACGGGCAAAACTAGGACAAGAAAACAAGTATCAAGTCATATTCAAGTGTTAGCACGTCGACGATCAAAAGAATCGGCTGAATATCCATTCGATGATATTTATGATTCAGATTTATGTGGTTTCTCCCCATCTACAGATATTCATGAAGATACTGAGCAATCAAATTTCAATGTGGGAAATTCACATTCTAAACTAGAAAAGCATACATCATTTAGCGTTGAGACATTTTTATCTCAAGGTAAATCAATTTCTTGTTTCTACGGTTTATTTATTTCCCGTATTTTGATAATTAAATAGATCTGCGGACTGAAATGATATGTCGCATAAAGCTAGACCACTTCAATTGACTAATGCTTTCTACTGTTATATATATATATATATATATATATATATATATATACATATATATATATCCTGAACTTATCCACACATCATACCAGTCATTATTATTATTATCACACTTGCTAACCTTTTAGAGAAAATCTATTCAGCATCCATCCCTATTTACTATATCTGACCTAATTCATATTATTCTACACATTACGTAATTTCTGATTTGTAATCCCATTGTTCTATCTCACCTTAAGTCAACTATATTTATTCTGATCAATTATTTTACGATTTTATTTCACTTATAAACTGATTCAAGTTAACACTTCATATTAGTCATCCCAACATTAACGATTCGATTTAATTTTATATTACAAACACTCGTTGATTCACATGTTACAGATTTGCTAAATGATGTAATCTGCTTTAAACTTGGTCAATTTTTTATGGATTATTAATTTGGATTTATAATTGTAGAACCTGATGAGAAATGATTGAAAAGAATATTCTTCATTCATATAATTGTGTTTTAAACTCAGAATAGTTTTAATATTAACTAAATTAAATAAAAAGATTACTTCGTTAGTACTTTAAACACTTGTGATATTAATTTTACGGTCTCTGGGTCCACGTAAAAATGTCCTAACCATCTCAGTAAAAATTTAAAACATTTCCAACTGATTTCCTACCTTTGCCCAGTAACATATACTTAACATCAATGTTGTTCACTTAGTCAGTCCACAAAATGTGAACAATGCTTCGAAGATACCTATGGTCGAAAACCTCCATTCTAAGTATTTCTTCTAACTTCTTAGATCATGTTTGACAACCATAAAGTAATACATAGCCAATATAAGTTCTAAGTTGCTGAAATGAATATTCTGGGAAAATAATATCCCGACAAAATAACTAGTTGTCCTTAACTTCTAAAACCTTGTTTTAAACACACTTAAATTTATCACTTTTTGTCCCAAGCTTGTTTACCTCATTTACTTCATCCTGAGACTTATTGAGATTGATTGTGGAAAAACGACTACGTGCCAACTATGACTTAAAATTGTTAGTGGCTGTGGTTATGCATATTTCTGACGTTAGTATTATTTTGACTCATTCAATTCGTATAAACGGTATTGCTAATGTCGACTGTCGTTTTTATAATACGTCAATTGAATGAAAAAACCCATAAAATTTATATTTCATTAAGTCTGTTTTGGACTAATAATATAAATGTACAAATAATCTGACTACTAACTAGTAGTATAGAACTCAGTTGTAAAGTTTTATTTGAATCTATTTTATTTTACTCTGATGGTTCATTAGCATTCTCTATTGCGACTAAGTGAAGACACAGTAGGCAAATAGGATTTCGTAAATTTCATTTACCCATTTTCAAAACATTATCCAATCTGTTCCATTTGTGGTAGGTGCAAGATTACTCCTGTTTGAAGGCGAATCAATGATGGACACAATTATAAGAACCAAATCCTTTATTAAGTGAAAGACAGAAGGTTTTCAGCTGGATTCGCGTTTGCAGGGTTGTGGATATATACTGCAATGGATCCCTGAAACGGAGATTCAGTGCTTCCAGGTTTTCAATGGTTATCTAAATTTGATCGATTCATGATTTCAATGAGACTTTAATATGTATTTTCTTGCAATTAGGAAAATCCCATTTTACAACATACCTGTATTGTAAGCTGTTTCTAAAATTTCACAAAACGATATGTAAAAATAATTTTGAAGATTTGGAATATTTAAGAAATTCATAATTCAGTTATTTATTATGTACATTACCGTAGATAATGACTTCATTAATATTTTGTCGAAAGCTAAATAACTCTCATTACTTTTGATTGTTTTGTCTCAATTAATTTTACAAAACCAACTTCCAGTTGCTTCTCCTGAATGTATAGATTTGAAGAAACCAACTATCCTCAATCAATTAAGCATTATTCAAACGGATGAAATACACCTTATGTATTATGATGTATACATGTGTAATTCTGCTCAGGCTCATCATTCTACGAATGAAGTAAGCATCATTTATTACATTTATTAATATTTATTTACATAAATTATTGTATTTAAGAGACTTTTTTTCAATTATTATCCATGTTACTTTTCCTGTGAATATTTGACAAAAAAAATCGGATTGATTGTATATCGACATTTCTATATGACGTATTATGACTGTGTGTTTCCTACTAGTTAACGTTTTTTTTTAGAAAGGTTGTTTTCCACAGAATGGGGTTGCTGACCCCATGCTCTACCCTCCTCCTTTATCTGGGCTTGAGACCGGCAGTAACCTTAGAAAAGCTATGGACAGAGTTTACTGTGTTTAATACTCATATTCTCATAAATTGAGTCGACGAGTGATAAACAAATCAACACACGAGTAAAAACCTATGTGAAATATGGCCAAAGCAATAGATTGTTATAGCTATTTATCATTTTACCGGACCAAATAGTGAATAATCATTTTTATACGTCAGATTTTTCTGTATATATTAATTTGATTAATTCTGTTTCGTCGATGTATATATATATATATATATATATATATATATATATACTTCTAATTAGTAGTGAACTCTTCGAGTCATTAAAATCCTTCCCATTTAAAGAAAATTCAAAACAACAATAAAAATCAGTTGAACCTGACTGTTTATCGATGTTTATCAGCCTATTGAAACAAATTGTTGGCAAAATACTTGTTAGCAACAAGTCCTACCATTCAGAACTTTAATTATGGTACCATGAGGTCTTTAGGAGGTGTCAGTTGTATATTGACTTTCATATTCATTTTATATTTCTGCACTTTGGTTACCCAATCGTAAACAAAGTTAGGATTCAGGCCATTTAGTTCTTATTATTTCTGTTGATTAGGTAGGTATTCTAATCACTGATCCTCGTTAGGCAAAATCCTCGATAACAATGAAACAGAGTTCCAGGAATTTTTTAAAAGCGTATCTGTAACTTAAGAAAAACTTATATGTTGCAATCTGATACAGTGCTATCAAACCTTTTGCCTTTTGATTAGTATCCTTATATTTCCATGTTGGATAATCAGAAATGTCTTCCTATTATGGATGCTTGTAGATCTCATCTGGGACGGAGTGCAGAACACCTAGCCTCTAGATTATTAAGCCGTCATACAACAGATTGTATTTATAATTCAGATTAATTCGTGAACTATCTATCCAGTGCTTTATTGTTTTTAATGGTATTTCAACTAACCTCAGTCTTTGATGTAAAAGTAAAAGAAATATCTTAACTCACTATGTTGCTAGTAACTTTTATTAATGCTTCTTTTGAATTGTGATACTTCAGTAGTTTTGGATTATAGGTATATATGGAATTGAAAATTATCCAAATAAGGAATATAACCAAATTTTAAGGATGAAATCAAATGTTTTAATTTATTTATTATCTTTTTCAGCAAGCCTTGATTGTACTTAACTCATCCTCACCAATTAGTTTAGTTCACTCCCAAATGGATTCAAATCAATCTGATATTATACCTCAACATATTGATATAAATTGGCCGCATATTCTTAGAAATACACCTGATAAATGTTTTATTATGAATTTAAGGGTAAGTTTCATACTTCTTAGGCTTATTTATAACTACATACAGTAAATCATAGTACTAAAATGTTTTTAATTTAGCTTGTTTACCCTCTTTAATATCAGAAGTAATTCTTTCAAATAATGTTGTACTTTGTATGTCATATTTTGTATCCGTTGGTAGCAGATAATTTGAAATATTCAGACTATGCAAAAAATGTCACAAACAAATCAGTTACTGTTGTTTAAAAAGTTTAAAATTGGTTACAAATATGATTAGGGGATTTCTGACAAATAATTGATGATTCGTATGGTTTTAAAACAACTGTTTAAGTTTAAAAAGAAAACAACAACTGAGTATTTCAGTATTTTGTAAATTTGTCAAAGATTTTCAACGACCTATTATTTCTATAAAAATATCTAGTCTCTAAAATTCTGGATATTTAACAAAAAACAAACAAACATTAACTGATGTTAACTTTCTAGCATTCTCCATAATGTTGTCGTTGTACAATAAATATATTTTTTCTATTAGTAACACATTAATAAGCAAAGAAGGATAGTGGCTAGCAGTGGAATTCAGGACTCGCGTTTCGTCCTATTTGGAACTCGTCAGCTGGATGTACCTGCATCTCGGAGTTGATTTTTATTCTGGGACTCGAACCCAGTACCTTTCGCTTCAAACGCCATCACGCTATCCAAACAAACAATACCAAGTGAATCTAAACTTCACCCCATTGCACAAGCAAGTGGCTATCAGGACTCAATAGCTCAGTAGATAACGCGACGGTGTTTGAAGCAAACGGTACTGGGTTGGAGTCCCGGAGTGAACAACAACTCCGAGATGCAGGCACATCCAGCTGACGAGTCCGAAATAGGACGAAAAGCGCGTCCTGGATTCCACTGCTAGCCGCTATCCATCTTTGCTTACAATGCTTATGAATTATGACTATATCGAGACATTACGCACAGTATGCACATATGCCAATAAGAGACTGATCAATTGCAGTCCTAAACACCAATGGAAAGATTTAAACATACAATACTAAGTGAACTTAAATAACACATTTAGTTTGAAGAGTACAGTTTACACCATTCAATACAATTTAGAAAATTCAATATACATACGCTTACTTAGATTTATAGTTAGTAATAAAAGTAATCACTATGTGTTTCAGTTAAGCATTTATTATTATTTTTTAAATTATATTAGGTTTTTGTTCCTATTGAACATTTAATTACACTGATTCTTTGTTTAAATTATAGTGAAAGTTTTTTTTTTTTGAAAACCGTATATTTAACATTAAACCAATCAACACACCCTATGAATTTATGATAACGGTAACGATTTTTATTATGCAACTAACAATAAATGAAGATTTAAAGCACATTTGTGGAATTATCTCTCTATGTATACAAATACAAATAGTATCAAAGATAATGTGGGAAATACCCTGTATAATAATAATTCTGCAATTATTTTGCTGCTGGGTTTTTTTAGCATGATTCGAAAGTCAGTCAACAAATAATATTGAGATGTTTGAGAATGTTTGCAGTTTAGAATGACGATTCTAAAGGTGTTGTGTTTTTTGATCTGCGTGGTCTATTCTTAGAGCCATGATCTTATGCTTAAGTCTTTTGATTTTCATTCACCAAGTCGCAGGTTCGAATCCTTTTGCATCTACATTGAAAATGTAATAAATCCAAAACAAAAGAGTATCTAATCCTCAAATTGTATTGTTTAATTAATTTGCAGATTGATTTACCAGATGCTAACCACTTAATTTGTAATCCATTTTTATCCACAACAATTATGTAAGTTATTGTTTTGGTTAAATTTGTCGCTATGATTTTCTCTAATTTTTTTTTATGATTTAACAAATAAATGTACACAGTTACTTTTTTTAAACTATGATGTTTTAATTTAGTTCGCAATGGTTTGAAGTATCCCGTCATTCATAATTTGACTAAGTTTGGATCAGTTTTAGTTGGTATTTGTGCATCCTATGCAGATTGACTTGTTTTATCCATTATTTAACGCGTTTATATAGGAATAGATGGGATGTGACTAGTAGTAGAATAATCCAAGATACTCGTTTTATCCTGTTTGGAACTCGTTCTCTATAAATAGAATTTCATTATGAAAAACAATAGTTGAATTCAGGTGCATCCAGGTAATTAATCTCAAATAAGATGAAACGTGTGTCATGGACTCTATTACAAAGCACAATCCATCTATTTCATTATACTTCTAGTTATGTAAAAAAGTCACCGTTATTGTTCGGGATTGTTTTTTTGTACTTAGTAATGCTATAGTGAAGAGTAAATACAATTTTACCTCAATAGGTTTATTTAAAAAGACCATATATTGGTCAACTTCTTTTTAATAAACAAACATGATAACAAAAATGATTTACATAGAATTTGTTTCTTTTTAATAAAAGGATTTAATTTCAGGATCTTATGCAGATTGACACTTTATATGTATTCAATGTTTATCGCTCATAAAACGGAACAATCAAAGAATACTGATAATTATCAAATTTTTATCCTATCTCTTTTATATCCCCTTTAATTCACTTTCCTCTATGATAAACATTAACTGGCATTTTAGATAGGGAATACAAATAAAAATTTCCTATTTCCAAATAATTTATACCAATTTCTTATGTAATATATCTTATTACAGTCTACTTCTGTTTCTCTTACTCTTACATTTCGAAATGTGAATATTCAAAGTGTATTAGCTCCTCTCTTCAAACTTGCAGTGGCGTATTTATTGAAAAGCGATTTGCTGATTAGTAAGATGTGACAATAGCCTTGTAACACACTGATAATTACAAACCAATGAGCTTTTGGATAGTTGTTTCATCGTGAAATGAAACTTCTCAGCGGTATACATCTACGACTGTATAAAAATCGAAACCAAGATCTTTAAGTTTTGCATCAAGTGCTTTACCTTCAGATCACTGAATTTGAAACCAAGGATTTGTTGTCCAAGTTAACTTACATAAAAATAATTACAATATCACAGTACATCCACAGAAATTAGTTGATCGACTGTATGACTATAACATGTACTGTTAAATTTAAACCAATTAAATGAATACTACGTATTTTAATGTATATAATGACTATTTTCGTAAGTAATGCTCAAAAGTTTTCATTTTATTTTAATCATGGGCACGACAGATTTGGATTAAAAGCTTTCACACAGTAATTTCATCTGACTTACCATTCAATTTATTCCAAAACATCTGTGTATTTCTAATAGTCGTTATTACTATCCATATATTATCCTACGTTGTACATACACTCGTCACCAGATGAAATCAGTTAAGTAATTCAATTGACAACGTTTCTTTTTTTACCATAAATCAGTATGAGGTGACCAATTTATAAAATTCATGGAGAGGTGGTAGTTACCGACTATTAGTTGAAGAAGTGTTCATCAGCGTATGCTATGAACCTTGAAAATAAATATTCTCACAAATCAGTAGCTAATAATATCTTAAAATTTCCGAGAAAGTTATAAATATTAACTGTTACACCTGTATAAAGAATAATGTTGAGTCCTCAGATAAAAATTCAACCATTCTATCGCCTGATTAACCTTCAATATATAATCATCTAAAAATCAATAATATACATATCGTACAAAAAAGAACAACTGAAAAATCAGTGTTGGAGATCACGGACCACTCCAAGTTAGGTAACCATCTTGCGATGGGTATCTGAAATCACTGGATAGCTTTTTCGTCCCGATTCGAGACTCCACAGCAATACTCATCCGCAACCTCACCACCAAGTATCAAACCTAGGAACTTCCTCTTCCGTGCGAACTTTCAATTTCTACTCTCCTGAGCCGAGGTCCAGCAGTGTTTAAGTCTAACTTCAATCAATCCACAATATTTCACGATCATATTCCATTATCTTCGGTAATTTCCTTTCTCATACTCGATATCGCTGGATTCTGTCGACCACGGCTTCCCATTAGAATGAATGTCATAAAGCACATATAATTATTTTTATTTCACAAAAGTGTTAAAAGTTATTGGTAATAAATTTTATTTTTAGTATTTATATTGCATTTAACCGGTGGTATTCTGTTTCCAAAGACTATTATTATTTGATTTCTGTTTAGTCATGGTATTTTTCGACGAAAAAATATATCTCGGACTAATTCAACAATGCTAATTTCAGACATTTAAAATGTTGAAAACAACTGATTCGTCTTATAAATTTTCCTATTATTGTAAGAAGATGGAGTAGATCTAAAGAATGTGATGTGTTTGTAAAATACATTTCGAACAGTTTGGTCATACATATACTTGTCAAGATATTAGTATATGAAAACTGAAAAGGGTCAAGTAAATCAAAGGTCGAATAAACATAAGGTGATAATTGGTAATAAAGGAATGAGGGTAATGTAGAAGTAGAAGTTGTTACACCACTGTAGGATTTAAAATGGATTAAAAATCACCGGAACAGATTCGAGGTTAGGATAAATTGTCTTTATATGCATATAGGAGGTTTGAGTTTTCCAATGGCTAGAACTTTTAAAAACTTAAAAATTCACTTAAAAATCTTTCGAAATCCAATGACCTGCTTCACTTACATGCTCACTTTTAAGAAGCCCTTATTTAGTGACCTTTATTAGTTTTGACAAGTATTTGACCAGATTGTTCGGATTATAAAAGTCACATTTTTCAGATCAACTCAGATAAGTAATATTTAAAGCAATCTATTTATTTTAGTGATAAAATCGTATGTTTTTGCTTTTTATTCTCGTACTCTTGTATTAAATAGATTCAAGAGTACTTGTTCTAGAAAAAAATCTCTAAGATTGTCCACAAAAATTTTCACATTCAACCAACTTATTATAGAAACAGAAACTAATGTAAGTTTATGTTAATTAATTTACGATATTTAAAAAGAATATGTATTACATTTTATCAAGTTCTATTTTATCAGACCAGTGTTTAAATGAATTCACTAGCTTAGTGGAAAATGTGTTGACTTTTAAATGAAAGTTATTGGGTTTGAATTCCCGTGCGAACACCAATGCTAGAACCCAGAGATTATCGGGTTACAAGTCCTGAATGTGAAGAAATGCGTGTTCTTATTTCCACTGCTGGCTGAGATCCATCTGTATTTATTATAACCAGAGACGGACGGTGGCTAGCAGTGGAATACAGGAAACGCGTTTCATCCTATTTGGAACTGGTCAGCTAGATTTATCTGCATCCCAGAGTTGATGTTCACTCCGGGTCTCAAACCCAGTGCTGTTCGCTCCAAACATCATCGTGTTATCCACTTGGCTACTGAGTCCTGATAGCCACTTGCTTGTGCAATGGGGTGCAGTTTGAATTCACTTGGTATTGTTTGTTTGAATCTTCCCATTGATGTTTAGGACTTCTATTTAAACGGAACGCGCGTCCTGGATTTCACTGCTGGCCACTATCCATCTTTGCTTATAACACCAATCATCTTTTTTTATCATCTTTTTATCTAAAAAACTCCGCCTGTAGCTCCTCTGGGGGTTACTGCCGGTCCCAAGCCCGGGTAGAGGAGGAGGGTTGGTAATGGGGTTAGCGACCCCATCCCGTAGAAAATCAACTCGCTAAAAAAACGCTAACCAGAAAAAATCATTCAAACCTTCATAAAATATACCTTTGGTCTTATTCAGGTACTATGGCTGCTTTGATGACCGTACAACACAAACGATGTTATCACAGAAATGTATAAGTACGAGTAGGTACAAGGAACAGAGTACTACCACTTCTGCATAGGCCAGCCCATGGCGTGCAATTAACTGATATGCGTTAGTTGTCCTTAACCTTGACGAAGATCGGTGAACTGTTCGACATTAAGAGACCCAACTACAAGATGATTTGGCTGGAGCTCAGTGACATTTTACTGTCCCCACAAGATATTTGCAAATTAAAATAAAGCTTTTGAAATATTTTTGTTCTATTATGATTAATTCAATAAAGATCAATGGATTTTAATTCCTTCTTTGAAAAATGTAGCTAACTGTTTAAATGTAGGTGACTTTGGTAGTTTCATCAGTGATTACTGATTAAGTATCATTGGAATTTAGAAAAAATAAATAGTTGTTATAACTTGTGCCTGTAATTTTTATATCTTGTACCCGCCTATTAGAGAGCAGTGAATTATCCATCAGACCAGTGACCCACGAAACCCGTATGAGCAGTCTAGATCACTTGTCGGTCCTGCTATCTACCTAACCCAGCCAGTTAAGTCTAGAACACCAATAACAGCCTCTGCAATATGAGTCATTTATTTCAAGCATACTGGGTTTATATACCAAACAGACAGACCACATCGTACCATAAAATAGAAAATAATATTTGTACAAGACTGAACCCAAATTGGCTGTAAATGTAGGGAACCGTAATTAATGAACTAGGGATAGCTTAAGAATGGTAAATCGTATGATAATAGTCTATGGGTTAAAATAAAGCTTGTAATAAAAAGAACATGAATATTAATAGTAGAGTTACTTAACAATTCTACAACAGGAAATATACATATAGTGTTGGTTCATAAATAGCCCTCAAAAGGTACCATTCATAATTATCTTCGGGATACAACAGTAGTCAATTTGATTGTTTTTCACAATTGACATTTTTATATGAAGTTATCTGAATTGGAACGAATAGTTTGATAATAGTTAGGGGCTGAATTAATGAATCACATTAAAAAAGTGATTTCATACTCAAGATGATTTGTTGAGTATACAGTTCGTTTATGAATCATATTTTGATATTTGATTATTCCATTGAAAAAGATCCGATCAGACTACCAAGCAAAATATGGGATACATTTTGATTTCGGTAATGAGATGTTTATAAATGCTTCTAGTTAATTCTAATATCTATTTCATTGTTTTCTTATTTCTTCCAAAATTTCCATTTTCCCTGTTTAGCTAAAATTATTGGAAAATAATCAAGAAAATATTTATATTAGTCAACGAAAAATGGAATCATACCTTACAGAATTATTGACAAATCTTTCGAAATTAGATTCTGAAGAACTTATAAATTTAGCTTTGGAAAGTACTTATTTATTACAGGTAATGCATAAAAATGAATTTATATACATATACATTAGTTGAAAGAGTTTTAAAGTGACTGGTTCAACATGTAAGTCAGATTCGTAACAGACTAATCTCAGTTATGACCACTAAGATCTGAAATTTCTGTGTCAAATCCCCGGTGATGGTATGCACTTTTTAGTAATCCTGCATTAGGATGAGATAGCTGTCTAAATTTCCACGACTCTCAATGCTTCATCAACTGAGATCAATGTGCGATATATATATATATATATATATATATATATATATATAACCGAAGATCTGTGGGAATACAAGAAATAGACTAAGTTATCTAATGTTGCGAACCATTGATGGGAATTCTCGTTCAAATTGGAACCAAAAAATTTAGACCTGCTAACATGTCTTAATCCAATAGTAGACGAATTAATGGGTTGATATCATGTCTTGATGTGGTCACTTCTGGCTTTCTTCATACTAACATCATAAATTGTGCATCATTTTAATTCATGGCAATTTATATGTTAAACAGGTAAATAGTCATAACAAAAAAAATCGAGTTCGGAATGTAGAGTTTCCGAACGTGTTTATTACTAATAGTTTTGAAGTTCAATATAAGTCCATATAATCCAACTTGTTCCCAACTTTTCTATAACTACTTAATTTAATTCTAAGATATCATTTCTTTTTTATTCATCAACTTTTAGCTTGTATATGATGATGAAACTAATCGTCCAATAATTGGATTTACTATACTATTAAATATATCAAGAGTTGATCATTCAAAACCACATCAAATCATTTGTTTTTCATAATTTGTTTCATTTTGTGTTTGTAGTGTAATGTTGTTTTTTTTCTTCTTTCTTACAAACTATAATACATCTATCAATCTTATGTGTCGTATATCCATTTAATAATAAAATCTTATTCTAATATATTGAAAAACTTTATATTAATACGTTACTTTTACTCGAATTATCTTTTAATCTTCAAATCGATTTATAATATTATTACTTAATCATAATGTTTTACTTCATTTATCCATGAAATTACATTTTAATATGTAAGTTTACTATATATAAACCAACAGAATTATTAACAAATATATTTACTTCTTTTGTTTGAAATTTTTTACGATGACCTGAAACAATAATGACGAGTGATATTGATGTATAACGAAAGTTTTACATAATAGTGTGGTGTGGGTTACTGATAACCATATAAGTAGTATATGGTGATGGTCGGGCATTGAATGTATTTCAGTAGAAGATCGATAAGGAGAGAACATGAACGGCACGCAATCGGTACGAAAATGCATGAACAATTATCATCGAAAACTATGAACGGATATTTCCAGAAGAAATAGTCAAATTCAGACAATTGATTGTTATTTTGCAAATTAATTGTTCACTATAGGGTTTTCATATTTTATTGAGATATTGTGTAATGTTGTGCTAAATGACATTCGATTGTCCCCATTCATGTTCTTGTTCACTACAATGGCACTCACATTGTTAAAATGTTCCCAGTGGATTTAAGTCACTTTGAGGTTTTAAAATTTAGGGGTGGGGTTATCATTTTGATTGGTTCTCTGAGCAAGTTTCCCTTGAAGGAAGGTTTTACCATTCGATTTCATCATAATTTGTATCGAGAAACTATTGATGCTCTTTTAAATTAGACTGATCTGACTGGTTCAAATTTTGGAGAAGATTCTTAGGAGTATGTCTTGATCCTTAAATGACTGTAACTAATCGATATATCGGCTGAACAGCATTTATATAAGACAAGTCTACTCGTTTTTATGATTCATCACAAGTGCATGCATTACCAAGGCATCTTAATAGGTTTCAGACGTAAGAGTTGAGATATAATTCGCTCTAATCCACTCCATTGTTAACGAACTCAGAGAGAGGTTTCATGAATTTTGCGATCCTTAGTAAAAAAAGATGAAATTGTCCGTATGTTAAATGTAAAAACACCTTGATAAATGTTTTTGTTCATAGTTTACTTAAAACTTTTTGTCGTTCTTGACAGCTTTCATTGTTTTTGTCTCAAAGACAACCTTTGCCTCATTATCTCTATCTACTAGTAATTCCTTTATACTTTTTGTTATTTATTGTTTGCTTGGGAAGATCCAAACAAGCAATACTAAGTAAATTTCAACTTCACCCCATTGCACAAGCGAGTGGCTATCAGGACTCAGTGGCTCAGTGGATAACACGATGTAGTTTGAAGCGAAAGGTACTGGGTTGAAGTCCCAGAGTGAACATCAACTCCGAGATGCAGGTGCATCCAGCTGACGAGTCCCAAATAGGACGAAAAGCGCGTCCTGGTTTTCACTGCTAGCCACTATCCATCTTTGCTTAACCTTACAAAAAATGTTCATTACATTGTCCCTTGCTCAAAATGTATCGGGTTAATCGTGAGAATTTGTATATTGAGCGACCCATACAATATATTCTGACCATCATATCAGCATACGTTGAAGCAGACGATAATCACTTTGGACTCATGAATGTAGGTCCTTAGGATACTGGAAATGAAGGGAATGGTGTGGACGCTTAACTTCAGCAATTACATATCAAAGTCACACAATTCTTTAAGTACCTTGAACTGACTCATTCTGTCCTAGAGGCCAGGTTATTCTACCTTTATGGAGCAATTAAGAGATAAATGAAGACTTACCAGAATAATATCCTATATTTCACGGAACAGATTATGGAAGTACAAAATATGAACTCAATAACACATTGGTCGATTAATATATTAGATCTAATCAATGGACGTTAATTATCCCCAACCCCGAGACAGCTCAGTAAACAATTCAACGTCTGGTGATCAATCCTGCAAGGTAGAAATGCGTTCAACTCGCCGTGAAATTTGGTTAGGGTTCAAAGATTCTTCACAAAATCTACAGACGTGTCATTCTGTCTAACATATTTGACGGTAGTATCTACTTTATTAAGGTAGCGGTTTGTAAACTCCTTAACACTCACAAACCCTAGGTATGTCAACAACACATTCACTAGGGACTATTAGCCTTATATTTTGGAAAAAATGATTAACGGACAAGCATATGTAAGTCTTTTGTTCAGCGAATCAGGTTAAAAGCTGAGCTTTATTAATGTCCCGTTATATGCAGAGAGAAATCAGTAATACAATCTTTTGTCAAGTAAAAGATGTCCAATAAATTTTACTGCAGAGAGGAGATTTCGAATACTTCTTAACAAGATTAGACACGAACTAAGTTTTTTTCGTTTGTGGATATTTTTATAACTCCAATCACTCCACCTGTCACGCACTCAGTGGTAGTCACTAATCATTCTCCTGCTTCGTCATCGCCCGTATGTGTTCCAATAATTCGATTCTAAAGGTCAAAAATGCTAGTTAGTTGTCTAAAAAACAAAAAGAACTATGAAATCAGTGAATTTATTAGCATGGTGTTTGTATGAACTAATGATTCATTTATACTTGATGACTGCTTTACTTCGAATTCCAAATACAATACATCCGTTTGTGCTCATCTAGTATGTCTTGGTTAAACTGAGTTACTATAATTCAAATACTCCTAACTATCACAATTAGACAAATGTTCGACTGTCTTCAGGAAACTGGCAGTCTATGATGTTGTACAGCTACTTATTTTTGATCATGCATAACCTCTCTATTCATTTCTTGAAGTTATTTCCATGGTTTAAACTATATGAGTTTGATAAACGCGACGTTGCCAATCTACAGCACCACAGTATTTTGTTAAGCCCAGGAAGACAGAAGTTACAAATTAATCCCCGAACTAAGTAGTTCTTCAAGTCTTAGACATTGATGTCAAATTCATTGTTTTTACTGGACACATCCAAGCTAACAGTTCTTGGTCAAGCATCCTCACAAGATAAAGGTCGAGCGCGCCATGCTGCGCATCTCTTACGACAGTCAGTCAGCTTAGATTCTATGCACACCAACACATGAACCTTGATTCAAATGTATCTTCTAACTCCTTCATCCTCGATTTCTACTTTATCTGGTTTCGGCGATCCTCGTATTTGAAGTTTCAAACGACAGTGTTTTTAAACCCTGTACATCTGTCAAATCCTCACACTTTTACATTATATCATGTTCAACAAAAATGTTATACGAGGGTTATGAGAATAACGTTGTATTGAACAGACTACTCTTCAGAATCGAGTTTCATTGTATGGAGTGCTGCAGACAGTGATCTTGTACTATGTTTCTTATGAGTTTTATACTTGATTTTTATAGCAGTGCTTTTCTGTTTGCTTGGAAATCACATATTTCTTTGTTTACTTCAACTTCCAAACTTGCCTACAACATAAAACAAGATTAATAATCTCTATTCATTTTTCTTATTAGTTCATGGTGAGTGATAGGTTAACAATGTGTTTTAGATCAATCGGAACGATTATATTGCATTACAATGCATCCCTTAGCTTTAGGCACTGTGTATTTTTTCGTTACATGTACTGTACTAGGTAAGGAAAAAATCAGGACTCAACGTCATATCGGTATCCAACACCATACGTGGATTTACTGGCAGGTTTTACACCTGACGAGCTATACAGTCTGACCCTAATGTGTTTTCACATTTACTTAGATATGTTGCTCATCCACATAAGTATTGTACATTTCATCTGTGTACCCACGACAATGTAGTCAAAGTAAATGAAGGCCAATTATCAATGTATTCTACAGCAAACGTTTTTTCTCTACAATAGTAATTTAAATCTGTTAAAGTCTATTTTCCATGTTTACACTTAAGCTCAATCGAAATCTCCGCTTTTATAGCAGCTGTAATTCTCCCTGTTAGCTGTATAACAAGTACGCCTCGTTGTTAATCGTATATTTGCTTTCATGACAGAGAAATTGGTATTTTTGTTAACTGATGATTCCTTCCTACTTGATTGGGCGCTTATTACGAATTCCAAATATAGTACATTGAGTAGTGCCCATTTCGTTCCACCTGCCCTTAATTTAACTATTTCGAGGATTCTTAACTCATTAATTCGAATACTTCTGATCATCATAAGAAGAAGCCGTCAAGTAGTAATTCAGTATCAGACAGCCCATGTATAAGTTTGTGGTCAGACACAGAAACATTATTTTTTATTTGCAGGCTAAGATTCATAGACATTCATTCATGAAATCAATACACCCAATTTTTCCAATTTAGAAGAAGCTACGATGTGATGTTGGTAGTTTAATGGAAAGGTTGGTATTCAGACGATGAGTATTTGGTTTTAGGCCAGTGTATTTTTTGAAATATCCTCGTCGACCATTTGTTTTAGAAGATAAGTTAGGTGAAATAATGTCAGATGGAAAATTATTGTCCCAAAACGTGATGGGCGTAGCTAAATTACTCTTTCTTCTTCTTTTAGACATAGAGAATACGTTAAGTTTATCCATCCTATCTTCACAAGGAGTATTTGAGATACCAGGAATCGACTTACTTGTGGCCCTTTGAACTGAAGATTCGACAGCAGTGCTACTCGGACCAATAAGGCTTCAAATAGGCGCTTCAAGTCAGTGCCTTAACAACCCTTTCATCAAATAGGTAAAGTTCGCTTAAATAAAATTTCCTCGCCTTAGTGGATGCCTTCAATGAACAATGAAACATGTGAATCAGATTTTGGGCCCTACAAACTGATTTATCAGTTTGTTCATTCTTAGTGTGTTTACCCATGTGTTAATTTAGTTTTAGTTGCAGTTTAGCTAGGACAGGAGGCCAGGTGGTCTGTCATATTCCTGCCAACGGTGGTCTCTCAATTGATCCAACATTCTTTTGAAAGTGTCGATAAATGAAGTGTCAAGTACGTGTTGATGTATTGAATTTCATTTGTTGATTATTCGATGGGAAAGCCGACGTTCAGTCAACAATTAATTGGTTCTAGGCTTAGGAACGTTTTGAAAGTATCCTCGCAAATTCTGCGTTTTATATGACAAGAAAAATGTGGCCATAGCAGATGCGAATTTATCACTAAGTAATTTAAAAACGTTTCTCTATGTGACAATGGAAATAGGCTTAGTTTAACCAGTCAGTCATCATACGGGAGATTTTCTATTCCGAGGATCAGCTTATTTGGGGTCTTTAAATAACTGTCTCTTTTAAAGTAGAGTGCAGCCG